CCTGCGATCCGTGTTGTCACAGACAGCAAGATGTCCTTTATTATGTAAAGTCCATAAATTTTTTAAGACATAATGTTATTGCACACTTAATAGACTTCAGCACAGTATAAATATAACTTTTACATGCACTGGGAATCGGGAAAAATCAGTGTGACTTGCTTTATTTCAAGATTCTGGAACCAAAGGTGTGTATCTCCAAGGTATGCCTGTACTTGATAATAAGAAACATCACTTTACTCTCAGTTTTAAAAGTGCTTCGCACACAGAAAAGTTCTTCATCACCCCCAGTATACAGACGCGTTTAAAGAAAAATGTGTTAAATTTATTGGAGTTCAAACTTGGCAAGATGATGGTGGAAGCCACAGTTGATTTGCTTCGGAAACTTTCCACTGGAGTCAAAGCGACCTCTGGTGGCCAGGGAACAGAAGGCTGCATTCAGGACTCTGGTGTCCCAGCAGGAAAGGCACAGGTGTGCAGGCGGGATGCCCTAGTGACGACACAGGAGGGCAGCACCCTTGACCCTGGCTGCGTTTGAGCCCTCCTGTGTGTTCAGGGTGACCTGGGTTAATCGATGTCCCGGAGAGGGCGGTACAGTGTAATGCCTGGGAGCCTGGAGCGAGTGATTCAACTTCTGTGTCTCTGCAGAAGTGCCTGCTACTGTTAGCACAAGGAAACTCACTTGAAGAACCGCCTTTAAAAAATGATTTGGAAAACAGATGGTGTCTCCTTGACCAGTTTCCCTCTGATAGAGTCATTTTACTATTGAGGGATTTTTAGAATCCATAGTCATTGCCCATACGAGGGCAGACAAAATTTCCACTGGGTGAGATGAACAGGAAATTGGCTGTTACGACTGAGGCAGGGCAGGTCTTGTGGGGTTTTCATCCCTAGAAATAGAGGAAGGGTGGCTTGGAAAAGCCACGGAGGGGGCCCAGGTGAAGCCGAGGAGGGCTGGCTTTGTCCTCAAAATATCCTAGAAGAGCAAAAGGGGCTGCTAACTGGGGCACTTCCTGGAGCGAACTCCCTCGGTGGTGAAGAGGTCCTTTCTGAAGGACTTTTTTCTTCTGAGCCTTCTCAGCGTGTACGGACAGTGTTTGAACTACATCCTGCGGAATTAAGGCTATAATGTGTCCTGCTTTTGGAAGCAGCATCTTGTGCAGAAAAAGGAAGCTCTTGTGGTTTCTAAGCAGATCTGTTTCAGATGGGTAACTCCTCAACAACTAGCCCAGCACCTGATATCGGTCATCTTTTCAGGGTATAAGGAGGACAAAAGATAAATCTGGATCCTGGTGCCCTGAATTCTTGGACTTTTGCCTTCATGAGCGCAGCTACCCGCTGTGAGCCCAAAGTGGGATCTGTCCAGGAGGCAGGAAGTAGGAGGGATGCTTTGGCACCAGCTGAAGTTTTGGGCTTAGGTCTCATTATAGAAGTATCTTGTTAACAAAATGACGCCACGTCTAGGCTTTGTGCCTGTGGTCTAAGCCAGCTCGGAAGAGGCCAAGTAACCCCTATGGCCTTTTCTCCCGGCTAGTTCTGCAGTCATATCTCGGCCCTGCCAGACTTGTCAATTGCACGGTGAGAATAGGAAGGGAAAGATGGAGAAGTCACTGAGGTTAAAAGAGAGCGTCTCTCATCCAAAACTGAGAGTCGGGGCTTCCCTGGCAGTCCAGCTGGTTAAGAATCTGCCTTCCAGTGTAGGGGGTGTGGGTTCGATCCTTGGTCAGGGAACTAAGATCCTATATACCATGGGGCTACTGAGCCAGCCCACTCCAGAGCCCATGCGCCACAACTGAGGAGAAGCCTGCACGCCACAGGAAAGATCCCATGTGCCACAACTAAGACCTCTGCGTGTGTGCTAAATCGATTTAGTCCTGTCCGACTCTTTGTGACCCCATGGACTATAACCCATCGGGCTCCTCCGTCCATGGGATTCTCCAGGCAAGAATACCGGAGTGGGCTGTCATGCCCTCCTCCAGGGGAGTCTTCCTGACCCAGGGGTCGAAACCACATCTCTTGTGTCTCCCGAATTGGCAGATGGTTTCTTTTACCACTAGCGCCACCTGGGAAGTCCCAACTAAGACCCAATGCAGCCAAATAAATGACAAAATAATTTTTAAGGGCTTCCCTGATGGCCCAGTGGTTACGACTCTGCCTTGCAATGCAGGGGACACCGGTTCAGTCCCCAGCCGGGGAAGATCCCACATGCCTTGGGGCGACTAAGCCCATGTGCCACAGCTACTAAAGTCTGAGTGCCTAGAGCCTGTGCTATGCAAGTAGAGAGTAGCCCCCACTTGCCACAACTAGAGAAGGCCCAAGCACAGCAATGAAGACCCAGCATAGCCAGAAATAATAAATTTATTAATAACATAAATTTTAATAAAACATATGAATAAAGCTGAGAGTAGGTTTGGGGAGCTACTCATCCTTGGCCTCTTTCTTCCGGGTCTTGCCCTGATTCCCACTGGCTTTTTAAGGAGAAAAGAAGACTTCCCCTCTAGGCTCGATTGCACTGTGGGGCCCCTCTCACTGCAACAGCCTCATGGGAGACAGGACAGCCTGAAATGTAAAGAGAGGAATCCACAAGGAGATGTAGCAAGCACATCTCCTTGGAATATCCTAGTACATCATATTGGAGGCACCCAAGGATGCCCCTGGACTGACCCTTGGGAGGGAAACGGGAATGGGAAGGGTAGCGAGAAAGCCTTAGTACATACTGAATGATTGAGGAGGGAGGCAATGAGTGAAAACCCTTTCTGGATTTACTCTCCAAAACATTATAATCAAAGTTTGCTCCAAGGAAGGCTAACATAATTTTAGGGAAAATTATAATGTGAAGCTTCTTTTAGTTCAAGTTCTGAACTCTTAGTCTTATCTTTTTTTCTTTTTTTTTTTTTTAATTTGGCTGCACTGGGTCTTGGTTGCGGCATGCAGGATCTTTTTACTTTTGGCAGGCAAACTTAGCTGTGGCACGTGGGATCTAGTTCCCCGACCAGGGATTGAACCCAGGCCCCTCACGTTGGGAGCTCAGAGTCTTAGCCACTGGACCACCAGGAAAGTCCTAAAGTCTGTCTTTATTCATGGCAGTGCGCTTATTTAGGAAAGTTGTGAAGGCATTTTTAAGCTTCAGAAAAGGTAAGATTCGTACCATGCAAAATGGTCACTTTAAATTGTTTTGTATACCATTTAAAGATGTTTGTGTGACCAGAATCACACACTTGTGGGATTGAGAGCTTCTTAAGACACTTAATCCCATTGCTAGGAAGTTATCTTATGGATATAGGAGCACATATGCACCAGGATAAAGGTACAAGGATGTCCATCTCTGCATTGTTGGTAACAACAATGATGTATTTTTTAAGCCAGGAAACAAAATGTCGATCAACAATCCACTTCTACCCTTTCAAACTGTTCAAATGTCTTAGTATGAGCAGGAATTCCTTATCATTTAAAAAAAAAATCACCTCCTCTACCCTGACTGCTGAATGATGCCCACCAGCAGGTTATCTTGGCTGTCCTTGAACACTTCCAGTGATGGAAAGCTCACTACTGCTTAACTATCAGACAATGTTTTGACCAACAGCCCCCAGACAAGAATGGATTCCTATTAAGACATGATCCAAGTTTCCAGGGGGGCTGGGTCTATCAGTCCCGTCTTTAGGGCTCTGGAGCTGGAGAGCACACAATTTTGACAGCTAGTTCTTGGTATTTTTTCCATTTAAAAATTCTTGTGGAATATACAAATGGAAAATAATTGGGGGAAGAAGGTCCCCTGGCAAGAGCCTTCCAGATATTGGAAGAAGACAATAAAGGCCTGTTCAGGATAACATTTTAAGGAGGATATTAACAATCTATGTAACAAAAGAGCTTTCTTTCAAAGAACCTGATATTGGCAGTGGGGAGGATAACATACACACCCCAAATTAAAGAGCGCACATGCATGCAAGCACTCTTACACACCAGGAGAAAGGAAGATGAGTCCTTTCCAAGTAGACAGTGACGATGTTGACTGGATCCACTGGGAATCCACAGTGGAGGAAATGGATTTAGTTTGTGTTTTGAGAAATGGGGAGTGGGGTAGGTGTGGGGAGGATGGGAACATTTGGTGGGGAAGGAAATGAACAGAATGGGAAGTGACAGGGACAGTGAAAAGGGGTGTCTGGGTGGGTGGCAGGTGTCTGGGGAACACTCTTTCCTTTTTTTTGCCCATGTCAGGCTGCCATGTGGGATCTTCCCCAACCAGGGATGGAACCCATGCCCCCTGCAGTGGAAGCACAGAGTCTTAACCACTGGACCACCAAGGAAGTCCCTCTTTTCTTTTCGAGGATGATGCCTAAAGGGGGAAGTACATCCTACACAGTGTCCCCGGGTTCTTCTTGCGGGCCCCGGCGGCCAGCCCTGCGGATTCGCCCAGGGCACAGTATGCCTTGCCCGTTGCCAGTGTGTGTTTCATCAGGTCTGTGAACTGATAGGGTCTGGATTTTGTGCTGTGGGAAACAAGGAAAGTCAAGGCCAAGGACTATTTTGGAATATTCTTTTTATTTATTTATTATTTTTTTAAAAAACATTTTTAAAAAAATTTTTACTTGCTTCTATATCAAAAGTGAAAAAGCAATTTCAAGAGCCATGGACCCCACAAGTGGGGGTACTGAGTGTGGCTGTCACTGTCCAGTGCATCATGAAAAAAGAAAAAAAAACAACATACGCACAAAGAAGGAAGATTTTTCACTGAAGGGCACAGCGGGATGATTAGGGTTGTATTAGGTTACATTCATTCGACATCTATGTGCAGTTCTTCAATCAGTCGGTCCTCCCTCTGTACCCCCTCAGCTAGCTGGCTTTCAGAAAGATTATCTGCCGGAGGTAATTGAGCCCGAGCACGCTGTCTCTTTCTCTCTCTCTCACGTGTCCACCGCTCACACACAGCAGCCGGAAATGACACATTGGAGTGAGTCACCAGCGTGGCTGTGAGTCACCCTGTAATTGGGGAAAGTTCTGTCCTGCTAGGTCGTGGAGCCCCTTGTGCTCCTGCTCCTAAATATATTGGAAAATTCTGAAACCACTCCGTCTCCCTTCACCCGCCACATCCTTTCGGTCTCTGAAAGTGAGCCGAAGTTGGATGGTCCTGAAGGGACGCGGCTCCATCGGGTGGAAAATCGAGGGAAGGAGAGGCGCGGGGGCGTTGGGCCACCACCAGGTGGCAGCGTGAGCCCCAGGAGGCTTGCCACCTGGGCGAGGGGAGGGATAGTCAAGAGGCCTCCCCTGAGATGCAGTGACATAGACCCACGGTGAACACGGTTAAACAACATGCCTTCTCGGTAGACCTTTCTCTCTCCCAAGCGCACAAGGACAAGGATGTGATAAATATTCAGGCACAGCCCTGGCATCTCACCCTCCCCACCAGGAGACGGGAGCCAAGAGCCAGGCACACACCTCGTCTCTCTCCTCTGTTTCTGCAACATAAAGTGTGTGTGAAGCAGAAACCTGCTTCTCTGAGTAAACAAGTCACCTACACTCCAAAATAATATATGCACACTGTTTCCTGGGGAGGGAGCAGCCAGGCCTGCATGGGTCTCGAACCTCGGAGCTGGGGGAGGACGGACCTTGGCATGAAAGAGTGTTTCTTGCCTTGGCTTTCTCGGGCCTGCTGTCAGCCTTCTCAGCAGAGGCAGACAGTGCAAGAGTGACAGCAACGTGCCCGGAACACACAATTCTAGCGAGCACACAGACGCTCCTTCATGGAAGCCCTGTGGTGCCATCCTACCAGGGCCTCGGTGGGGTCCGGGACCCAAGACCCGAACAGGCAGAGGGGTGGGCAGAAGCAGCTGGGCCAGCGGTCCTGGGAGTCCTGCAGTCCAGTTGGAAGGCCGGCTGGGTGTTACGCCTCCCAGTCTCTCCCAGGGTCTCCATTGGAGGGTTTAACTCAAAAGGTCCTCTTTGCCCCTCCTGAGAGAGCCCAAAGTTAGGCCTAAGAGGCAGATTCGAAAGAATTTACCATGGAAAAAAATAAATAAACATCTTCTCTTTTTCCAGAAAAATGAATTAATAAAAATTCTTTGCTCTGGACTTTCTTCCTCTTGGACATCTCCAGTTCTGTCCCAGATGAGGGCCGCCTTCCCCACGGTCAGGGTTCCATCACTTGGCCCATGAACAGGACGGTTCCTGAGGATGGAAGCATCACAGGAGATGAGAAGTGGGGGGAGGCGGGGGACAGCTCACCCAGCTGGGTGTTTATGGACGAACTGAGATAATGGGGACATGAGTGAGTGTTCAGAGGCCCAGCTGCTCTAGTGACTAAGCTGGGACTGAGGGACAGACAAGCACCCTGTCTGGAGAGAGCACTCCCCTCCAAGAAGTGGAAGGGGAACACAGCCGTGATTCATTGCCTGGAGTCCTCTTGGGGAACGTGGGGCGTCTACACCTGCGTGGATGGTACCTGAGTCCAGGAGAATGGGGAGGGGGGCCGAGAGTGGCGGGGTCTCTCGGGTCCCCGGCTTACCTGTGGGGTTGTGCCGCACCACGAAGAGGAAGGGTCTGTCCATAATGATCTCCTCGGGGGCCATTCGGGCTGAGACTATAAGGGCTGGAAGAGACAGGACAGAATCTTAGAACAGAGGGACGTGGGCGCTGGCGCCTGGATCGGTCACAAGTGACTCAGTGACACCAGCGCTGGGGAGTGGGGTGGTTTGGGAGGCTTTGTTGTGTGTGCTCAGTCATATCTGACTCTTTGTGACCCCACGGGCTGTAGCCCACCAGGCTTCTGTTTTGATGGGATTTTCCAGGCAAGAATACTGGAGTGGGTTGCCATTTTCTACTCCAGGGGATCTTCCCAATCCAGGGATTGAACTTGCGTCTCCTGCATTGGCAGGCAGATTCTTTACCACTGTGCCACCTGGGAAGCCAAATAATCATAGCAGGGACTTCCCTGGTGGCACAGTGCATGAGACTCTGCCTGCCAATGCAGGGGACATGGGTTTGATCCCTGGTCCGGGAGCATTCCACAAACCGCAGAGCAACTGAGCTCATGTGCCCGTAATGTGAACCCTAAAAGTGTCAAGGTGTCCTCCAAGGCAGTTGGGTGGAGATCTAGCAGCTACTCGCTCGAGTAGTGAAAGAGAAAGTCGCTCAGTCGTGTCCAACTCTTTGCGACTCTGTGGACTATACAGTCCATGGAATTCTCCAGGCCAGAATCCTGGAGTGGGTAGCCTTTCCCTTCTCCAGGGGATCTTCCCAACCCAGGGATTGAACCCAGGTCTCCTGCACTGCAGGCGGATTCTTTACCATCTGAACCACAAGGGAAGCCCACTCACTCGAAGTCAGGTTTATCTAAACTCAAGGCACGTCGGAAGCAAGCGCCTTTAAGTCGACTGGCCACTCTGAGAGCAAGCCAGGACCTCCCATTCAGGGGGACTTCAGAGCCAGTGGGGAGGGAAAGGGGTCCCGGGGAAAGCAGGCCCATTTTCTAGTGGGATCAGGTAATGCTCTCCACACAGGAAGCCCTGTTCTACCCGGGGAGGCCTGGTAGATAGACCAGGGCAGTGGGGTCTTCCCGGTGCACCCTAGGTGTGGGTACTAGATCATGGCCCCTCGTGGAAGCCTGGGGCCGAGACTCACCAGGTCTCACCTGAGCCCAACTCACCTGTGGAGGAGGACGCCAACGTGCCGCTCTCATTCACCTCGATCTTTACTTTCTGCAGCGCCTGCGACACGTACAGAAACTCTTGATCTGAAATGGAGGCGGACCCCAGAGCGCATTAGCCTTGGTCCTGAGGAGTGGGGAGGGGAAGCACCTCTGTCCTCCGGGAGACCCCACTGTCCACCAGGGGAGGAAAAGGAAAGGGAAACCTCTAACCTGAAAGACTGGAGAAGTCCGCCTGGCTTGGCCTAAACATGTCGGTCATTCCCAAGTTCTCCAGCGGCCTCCTGAGGTCAATTTCAGTCTCCAGGGAGAACCTACAGACAGCAGCAGGACACAGCTCCAGCTCAGGCCACGTCTAGCCTTACCAGGTACCCTGCCCCGCTACACACACATGACAGGAGGGGGACTGATGTGAACGCAGAAGTGGGAGGCTTGTTTTTCTTTCAAATCTGTTGGCAAGGTCTCTCTCCTTGCTGGAAAGTTTCTGATACTAAGGAACATTTCTTCTGCAAGCTCCCCACCCCCTCAAACCTCTGACTAATTACTTTCCTCAAATGAGGCAGTGGTTGCAGCACAATTGTGTTCAGTCTCACTGGGGTGGGAGTGGGGAAGGGCAAGTTCCCCTGCAAAGGCTAGCTGAACAGAGATCTGGTCTGTAGCTTGTGTTTCTGAGAGTTGAGTCCAAAGAGGACTCCAGCAGCGAAGCTTTGGGGAGCTCGTTCTGCCTCCCACCAGGGCATGACTAATTACCTCCGTTCTTTGAGAGAGAGAGAGAGAGAGGGCATCTAACCAACTAAATTGTCCTCTTTCCCTAAGCCTGGCATTATGGCATCTGGAAATGTGGGGTCGGCATAGTGGGAGGCTTCCCCACAATTCTGTAATGGACCCAGTCTCAGCCTCCAGCACCCTCTTCACTTCTGCAGAAGAATTTTTAAAATCTGCTTCATGGCAAGCCAGCTAGAAGCCAGAGTTCAGGCTTGCTTCATCTGCACAAGTGATTCCTTTTGTCTCCATTGTGTGAATGTTGAAGAGATGGAGGTGGGAGTGAGGGGTATTCATAAAAGGGTGATGACCAATGTATTCCCTGGCCCTCCCACCTCCCATCGTCTCTCCAGCTCTTCCTCTGGCTAGCTTTTGCTGGGTATTCAGGGGGTGGTGGGCGTGGCATGGTCTCGAAAAACTCACCCCCACCCCCACCCCCGCTGCCCTCCACCGACAGAGGGAAGATGAGCAGAATCTTAATCAAACCCAGGCCAGAGTGTGTCCCATCCGCACCCACGCAGCAGCTCCCTGCCCTGCAAACGTCAGGTTTGGGAAACTCCACGTGGCGGGGGGTGGTGTGTGCGGCAACAGCAGGGAGCCAAAGGAGAGGGCAGGGAGGAGGCAGAAGGGACTAGAGCAAAGGGTGGCTTACTTGGGCAGAACCAGGAGGCGGGTCAGTCTGGTCATATTCCCTTTCCACTGGCTGATGAGCTCAGCATCCAGAATGCTGGTGAGGGCAGAGAGCGGCACCTCTTTTTCATAAGGGGCAGCAATGAACATGCTGAGAGTGTTCCCGTGGTAGGGCAATTCCAGGATGTCGTAGTAACGGCCGTCGGGGGTGGTAAACTCAGCTGCGAAAGACACCAAGATGGAGCGTTGGCAATAACTCCAGCTCCTGTTGATTCTAACCCGGCGTTGGCTTTCCCATCAGTCCTCCAGGCCCCTCCATCCTCTCTGAAAGCCATCTCTCCGTCCTGGCTTTTGAGGCTCCCCACCCACCTACCAGGACCACCACTCCCCTGTTCATTGTTTCTTTCCATTTGCCTTCTCTTCTGCCAATTCACAGTGTCTTCTGGGGGTTCTCTGTCTCTGGTTGGCCATCTTTACCTGCACACCCTTTTCCCCAATCTCCAGCTATTAATTTATTCCGAGCCCAACCTCCTGAATCTCAGCCTTCACATAGCTCTTCCCCAGGAGGATTTGAGAAGCCCAGGTTATCACACCAGAACCACATGAAGATGAGAGATGGTATCAGATGGTCAAGTGGGATCCTCAGGTAATTTCTGGATTTCAGCTTCATCTTGCACAAGATATAAGCTACTTTCTGCTGCTCTGATAATCCCCGTGTCTCCTACTTGGGAAGTCTTTGTCGCAGCTGGGGTGTGTTCTAGGGTTTCTCCTCCTTTGGAGGGGACCACCCCAGGGATGAGGATCAGTCACTGTGGGACCTGAGGAAGGGAGAGTCTTGCACTTACTGTAGTTGAACTTGTTGGTCTGAGCCATCATGGGCACAGAGACGGTGCTGCCGTCAGACTTGTGGAAGAGGCGGTGGTGGGTGTTCGACTCTGGGAAGGGCATCTTCCACTGGCCGTTGAAGTAGAGGGCGTTCACCAGGACCAGGCGTGTCAGCTGGTCCACAGCCCCTTCACCAAGTAAGTCGCTGATCATGCCTATGGGAAATTGAGGTGATCAGGAGGCTGATATTGTTTTAATCCTTTTAGATGGTTCCCTTGAGCTCCCAGTCCTCAAATGGATGTGTGTCAGAAGGGATCCCATCAGAAGACGGACTGGGTAAGGTTTAGTGAACCCAGTCTAACTGCTTTCAACCCGTTCCATCTTCCTAAGTGTCTCAGAAAGCCTTCCCTGGCTCACCACACTGTCTTGGTCCTGGGATCCTGTCTAGGATCAGACCTGGAAATGAAGGTTTCCCCTTTCTTTGTTCCCTAAGCTGTAATCTTGAAAGACTGTGTTTTCCCCCTGCCATGGGTTATTACTGTTCTTATAACATCTCATAGTACTTTTTAGGGATGCCTTTAGAGGTGGTTCAGAGGGCAAGTCTAATTATGGAAAAAACAAGATGCTTTGATTCTTAAAGCACTTTACCGTCTGTCTACAGAGCAGAAGGTGCTGGAAGGGAGGGGTCAGGACCCTTGAGACTTGAATCCCAATCTCTGCAGGTCCTTGGGACTGGCCTCTTTTCTCTACCTGCTCACCTTTCGTGTGTCTTTTCACCCAGTCATTGATGATGAACCTGGCTCTCTCCACTTCAGAGAAGTCAACCTGCTTGACCGTGGTACGGAACAGCCTGAAGAAGTTGGGCATGAAACCATGGACCAATTCTAGGTCCCGCTGCACGAAGATGGCATCGGCCGTGCTGATCTCATCCTTGTTCCATGGCCCCATGAGCTCCTTGTACAGTCGGTGGAGGGCAGGGGCCATGCCCTTCTCTGGGCCAAAACAGGGAGGAAAAGACACATTAAGCTCCCCTTGAACCCAGGGCTCCCAGCAGGGCCAACTTCCCCCAAACCTGCCCACATGGACAGGACGCTTCTGCTCCCCCAAGGGTCTCTGAAGGGAGATTTCATTCCAAATCTTAATCTCTCCTGCATCTCCCTCTTTTCCTCAAAAAGCACGGGTCCTAACCCTTGCTTTGGCTTATAATATTTTTATCTGTTTTTAAGTTATAAACCCTAACCGTCTTCTTTTAATAACAATAAGAGTTATGCTAGGTAGGCCTTTGACATGCATCATTTTGGAGTTAATCCTTACAACAGCCCCATGTGGTGGATACTCTGATTGTCCCCAATTTGCAGGTGAGAAAACTGAGGTTCTGAGGGGTTAAGATCACAAAGTGCAGGCAGGGCCATCTTACACGGGATCCGCTGGCTCACACACCTTGTGACTAGCCAAGAGCCAAAGGACACAGGATGTGGTGGGAAGAAGATGCAGCGGTCCGTCCCTGTGGGCTGGCGGGACAGGAGTTGGCCCACTAAGCCGGGGTCAGCCCTCCCTCTGCTTCTGGTCAGTTACACCCCTGTCCTGGGAAGACTCCCTGAGTGCCCGCCTCCCCCTCCGCCCCGTCGTCTCTCACCTTCAATCTTGAATTGCATTGCCTCTTCGATCTGCCGTCGGGTTTCTCCTCCTGTGGTCAGCTGCAGCATGGCCAGGACTGAGGCCACCCCATAGGGTGAGAAAACCACGTTGCGGTCCTTGGAGGCCTGCACCACCTGCTGAAACACCTTCACTCCAAAGTCTGTGGCCAGGCTGGCCGCCGGAGTCTGGCGCTGGTAGGAGACAGACCCCTCACCAAAGGTGAGGGCCAGGCCCAGGGCGAGGCAGGCAGAGACCAGAGACATCCGCATCCTGGAATCAGTGGGAAAAGATTGGATGAAGTGGATAGTTTTGAAAGGACAGAGAGGGAGGAGGGGTGATGGCACGTGAACAAGTGGGCAAGATAGAAACCGCGGTGGGTTTAGATCCTGAGCCTTTTCCCCCTCTGTCTCAACCCTGGGGAATCTTGAGTGTGTTTTCATCTGTGGGAATCTGGAGCCCGGTGGCACCTCCCTTCCCTTCCAGGAGGCTGAAATGCTAAATTACAATAACATCTGTGATTTACACGATGCTTCCTAATTCTTTTCTAATGCCTTCAACAATCGTTGTTTTATTCAAATTAGCAGACGTGAAAAACCCCTTTCCTGAGCTGGGAAGGTAGGAATGTCTTCCATGGAGAGGGTCCTAGAGAGGCGAGGCCCTTGCTTCTGGGTGGTGGGATTGTTGGGGCATCCTGACCATCTTCCCCGCTCCCGTGTGATCACCGCGGGAGTCAACTCAGGGCTGCAGGTCTCCAGGTCGGGGGAGGAAAGAGGAACACTGGGGACCACGGACAGAAGGGACTCTGCAGATGGGAGCTCTCTGCCTTAGCCGGAGGTACGGAGCTGGAGAGGGTTGGCTTTGCTCTTACCTGAATTTCTCAAAGTGCCTTGGGATGGGCGGTTTGTTCCTGCTGCAGCTGCGGGTGTTGACGCTGGTAGCCCTGCCTCGGCTGGAGAGGGGGTGTGGCTCTCTGGACCGTGCTCTTGGCCCTTCACCCAGTCGCAGCTCTGCTCCAGTGCAGGCTGCTGCCTCCCTTTATACCAGATGTGGGCCGGAAGTCGATTAACTCATGGTTCGGCCCCGCCCAGTTTTTGGCTGGGGAAGTCTGTCTGAACGGCCGGGGGCCCCCCGGGGGGCCCCCTCAGCGCCTCCCTCTGTGGGACTCATCCGTGTGTGTACGTGAGAGAGACAGAGAGAGAGGGCTCTGGAACAATTGAGCCAACCCTGGTTGCCATGGGCCCCGGGGCCGCCCTTGATCTTGCTGCCCTCGGTCTCAGGATATTAAGCCAGTTTGACCCCTGGCACCCAGTGTTTACCTTCCCCAGAGCTCAGCGTGGGGAGAGTTTACACTTCCTCTTTGTCCTTGGGAGAATCTGACCAGCGCATAGTTATCAAAGAAGCTAAAGATCCTACAAATTCCTTGTCCATCAGCCTGGTGCTCTGGTTAAACTGGGGAGAACACCCCACCCTCCTTGTGGCTGCATCCCAGAAGCCAGAGGGCACGGAGCGTGCCTTGTTGATTGTCTGGGTTTTGACTGTCTAGGACGTGAGGATTCTCTCCCGTCTTTCTCTCTTTTCTGCCAAGTGCCCGCCCGCCCGGCCGCCGTCGGGTGATGCACGGCTGACTCCCCCACGTGTCCAGACTCTCCTGGTGCCCCAGGGGCTCTCTTTGTGTAAACAGCTCTGTCTGGCTGGGTTTTGAGGTGTGCTGGGTGGGGTGGTGGCTTCCCGGGGCAGAAGGGTAAAGCCTTGGCCGGGGATAAAGCCCTCAGTGTGTAGGCTTCACTTCTCTGAACTGCCTGCTGCGGCTGCGGAGGAATACCCCTTCATCTTTTCCTCCAGATGCAGACGTTGGGAGGGCTCGAGTGGCAAGAGGAGGGATGAGATTAAGAGCGTTAATTCATGGCCGGGTTTGTGGAGTGTGCTGCTAAGGCACTGGAGTTTGGGGTAAAAAGTAACCCAAGGATTCTACAGATGATGGATATTGGCTAGAGGCTAGTGAGTAAGACTGGGCTGCTGGTGGGGTCAGGCACCCTGGACTGTGTAGCTGGATGTCATGGACAGGGTGGGGCTGAAGGGGTCCTGGGGGGCTGGGTGCCCTTGACTTGAGGGTCCACACACTGTCATGCTTTGTGTGGGTGGTGGGATTCAACTGGGGGTATCCATGGAGACAGCGGACAGCAGCATCACAGGAAGCTGAAGTGGGTGGATGTGTCGGGATGTTTGTTTTGGATTTTTTCAGTAAACAGATACCAAGGGCAACCACAGCTGGAGGGCTTTCCCGTTTTCACTCTGCCTCCGCCTTTGTTTTCTCTGTTGCTCCTGGGATCCAGGTGGGGGTGCGGGTAACCGGGAGAGAAGGGGAAACCTCAGCTGGAAAGTTAGGGTCACTGACCCGTTCCCAGGACCAGACTGTTCATCTGTCACTGCTTCTTGTTTATGTCTTTCTTTCTTAGTCTGGTTCAGAGTCCCTGAGAAAGTGGTTAGCCGCGAGGAGGAAGAGCAGTTATGTCTGCTGTCTCTCGGATGGAGAAAGCAGAAGTCCGGTCCCCAAGCCATCTCCGACTCCCAGAAAGGCCCCAGTGACTTGCCCTACACCCTTGGGGACCACAGGGGGACAGGGTCCTGGGAGTCTGGGTTGGGAGTGTCAAGCCCCAGGTTGGAAGAGCAGCAGGTCCAGAGGCAGCAGGACCTGCCCTCCAGGCGCCCCACTGCCCGGCCTCCCCAGCCATTCAGGTGAGCCTCATCCCTCCCTTCGTGGGCTACTGCTGTCTCCTTGCCAGGCCTCGGCCACAAAGGCCCTGCTGTTTTCTGGGACCACCTGGGCCCTGCCAAGGACGTGACCACTTCTGTCCCCATCCCTGGACCTGAATGATTCTGAGGTCATTCCAGAAAAGCCTCTCCATTCCTGGGCAGCACCTGGGAACATCTCTGTGTCCTGCTGGGGAGAAAAGGGGCACATTTCCACTTTGGAAACAGAAAGCGCTGACTTACTAAGGGGTCATTTCCCACACCGGGGAAACCTTCTAAGTGTTTGGGTGTGGATTGGAAGTGGAGGCAAAGTCTAGTGGAACTGGGTCCCATGCTGGGTTTTCTGATGGTGTCCTTTTGTCTTTCTGAGCAGCTGGGGCCACCATATGATCCGAACTCAGACTTGACTGTGGCCCCTGCTGCTCCTCTCTGTGAAATGGCCTCACCTCCTCCCGGTCTGCCCTGGGGAGACCTTCCCCACCACAGGGGCAGCCCAATGGCCCACTGTCCCAAAGCAGTACATGCATGAGTGCTCAGTTGTGTCTGACTCTTTGTGACCCCGTGGACTGGAGCCCACCAGGCTCCTCTGTCCATGGGATTCTCCAGGCAAGAATACTGGAGTGGGTTGCCATGTCCTCCTCCAGGGGATCTTCCTGACCCAGGGATCAAACTCGCATCCCCTGACACTCTTGTATCGCAGGCGAATTCTTTACCACTGAGCCACCGGGGAAGCAGGCCCTAAAGTAGGCCTCCCAGCAATATCCTCCTCAGAACCTAGCCTGACTCAAGGGGATGTCACTTTCTATCCTTTCCCTGATCCCCCAAACTAACAGCTGTGACCCCATCACTTCTTTTAAGCCTTGGCTCTTTTGTAAGGGGTCAAAAGTCCCTGCTGTTGAAATAACTGATCTCTGTCCGGGAGAATCAGAGATAAGAGGATGAGTTACACTGCTGTGGATTTCTCGGGGAAGTTCCAGTTGTAGCTAACTAGGAAAGCTGTTTCCAACTGCGCTTCAGCAGGTGGTTCATGACAAGACCAGACGCAACGTTTCCGTGAATGTCCCCAGGCCCGCCCCTGCCCCCTCCCACCCCTGCAGCCCTGGTTCCCTTGTTGCCTTGAGTCTCCCCTCCAGCTCTTCACCTCCTGCCCTCTGGCTGCCCTCTTTGCTCTCTGCTCTTCCTCTGTCCCTGTTTGCTCTCTGACTCCCAGCCACCCGCCGCTTTTTCACTTTCCCTTTCTCTGCTTCCGAGACTCCCCTGCTCTTATCTCTTCTGCTCACTCCTCCATCCTGGGACCTCCATCCTGGGGACCCTCATTACCTACCCCCCACCCTGCGGTGATCTCCTCTAGTCTCAGCCCCCTGAGATCTCTCCCCGTTTTCCCACTCTGCTGTCCGTGACTCAGTCCCTCTTTCCCTCTCCCTCTCCCTCTCCCTCATGTGCAGAATCCCTTTTACAGTCAAAGGCTCTGCTCCAGGCCTTCCTGCGGGGAGAGGAGGGGCCTCCTGTCAGTTACACAGACTGCCTGGAATGTTGGAGCCGGGCCTCCCGATTCTTGGTGATTTCACTGGGAGAGCCGGGGGTGGCAAGAGGCTGGGGTCCTGCTAATTCACAGCGCTATTTCTGGCCTGGTTGCTCTCCAAACATCACAAGGCCCAAAATAGCCTATGTTTGGGCTGGGCTCTCGCCAGCCCCACTCTCCCCGCTTCGAAAGAGTGAGCAGAGGCCAGGGCTCTGTGTCAGCCTCTTATTGAAGATCACAGTCCTGGGACAGCCTCGGCCCATCCAGGGTCCCTCCGCACAGTGGCGCCAAGCCTCATTTGCTCCCCCAGTCCTATTCCATGGAGCCCCTCTCCTTTCTGCCTTCTCCGGCCCCCACCTCTCGCCATCTATCTTACATTCCCAAAACAGAAAAACCTGCATGCCTCCGCCATGGGAAGCTTTTCTTCTCCACTTACATCACAGAGTCTCAGAGCAGGAGGGCTCTAAGAACCATCTGGTCTGTTCCTTTGAATCTGCAGGGTGATATGTGTGAGGCCACACAGTGACCTCCCATAAGTGAAAGGACAGTAGTGTCCATTGGCCTGGCCTGGTCAGGGCTCTGACACGTAGCTAGTTATGTGTCTTTGGGCAAAACTCAACTTTGTGGGCCTCGGGGTTTTTATGTGCAGGTAGATAGGTAGACAAAAGTTTTTCATTAGACAGACACCGATTCCCACCCTTCAGTGTTGTTGAGAAGATGAAATGAAATACTGTAAGTGTCTGGCGTGTTAAGAAGCACGACAGAAACCCAGACAACTTGAGCTGTTAATTCTTGCCTTAGGCAAGTGCCTGGGTTACATATTTTGACTTCTCTCAGTGATAAGCAGAGTGGATGGAAGGTTTTAGGAAGCGGACTGGCTGGTTACCCAAGAGCAAGGCTGCCGGCCCCTCTGTCCATTTCAGGCTAGCTCCCGATTTCACTTGAGTCCTGACATGCTCTCCTCTGGCTGATTTTGCAAGCTTTGTTATTTTTTTAAACTGTTTGCTTATTTTTGGCTGTGCTGGGTCTTCGCTGCTGTGCGGGCTTCTTTTGCTCTACTTGTGACAAAGTGGGGGCTACTCTCTGGTTGGGGTTCGCGGGCTTCTCATTGTGGTGGCTCATGGGCTCTAGAGCGCGGGCTTCAGTAGTTGGGGGGCAAGGGCTTAGTTGCTCTATAACATCTGAGATCTTAGTTCTCGGACCACAGATAGAACCTGTGTCCCCTGCATTGGCAGGCAGATTCTAAACCACTAGACCGTCAGGGAAGCCCCCTTTCAGGCTTTAGATCCTGGGAAAATTTTCCTCTCTGGGCTGCAGGGTCACATGTGGACCCCACGGATACGTGACCCATATCTTGAACGCTCCAACATACCAGGAAGTAGGGGGGCTTGTTTTATCAGCTCGTAAAAGCTAGGCTGAGTTTGACCTACTCTTCTAGTCTTGGTTCTTTGGCCCCTTCTATGCTACCCTCATCCCCCGTGTCTTTTTGATTCCTCTCTAACACTCCGTAACAATTGAACCCCTTTTACACGAATTCCCTTTCCTTACAGTCATATTCTGTGCTTATCCTTCACTTTGCTGTGGCCATCGCCGTGTCTCATTTATCCTCATTTGTCTGGGGGAAGGTCACTGGGGGACAGTATTCTCTTGGAGGGGCCTCTTACAATGTGTTCAATGGGCCCCAGAGACCCGCCCCGGCCCCCAGGACAAGAAAGTGCCTGTTCTCTTGGGAGAAAGAAGCAGAGGGAGCAAATGGGACCCAGTGTGGTCACAGGAGGAAGCCTGGGGCAGATGGCATGAGCGATTTCTGGGGTAGGTGTCCCCGCAGAGCTCACCAGTGGCTGTCAGAATGAGGTAGTGCAGGCCTGGGAGACCCCGGACCCACCAAGGGCCACCCTAGCCTGATCCCAACCTCCTCCCACTTCTCTCTCCACGCACACTGAGGTCTAACTCTGATTCACTTCTTTCCTCTTTACCAGAACTCGTTCCTCATTCCCTGCATTCCTGAGCCTCCCTTTAGCACTTTCTCTGGACACATTCTGTTTCATTTTACCCTGCCTGCTACATGAGTCTTCCCCGAAATTGCCAGTTATTGACAATCAACACTCCGTGATTTGATTCAGAGAAACACAGGATTCTTCCTTCCCCAGAGGCACAGACCCACGTCCTGGGACAGATTAATATATATGTAATGGTTAAATTAGAACCATCTGTCAAACCATCTGTATACAAAGCAGTAAGACTCGGGCTATCAGGGTGTAGCTCTGAATGTGGAGGGAGGGCTTCCTGGAGGAAGAGGGACTGATGCTGGGTTGTGAGGGATAAGCAGAGGGCAGCACGGTTGGGGTGGGTCAGAGGGGGGCAGGTCACAGAGCCCAGGACGGAAAGGGGTGACAATGTCCCCATCCCCTCTCCACCCATCTCCATCGCTAGGCAGCAACCCTTTCTGCTGAGGCATTCATCCTATCTCTGTCATGCTCTCTTCATGGGCTTTCATGTTCTTCTAGGTCTGTTCTTTCTGTAGCCTCCCCCCACCCCCCCAAGGTTCTTGAAGTAGATGTTCCTGCTCGAATCTGCATCCTGGCTCTGGACACAACCCATTTACTGAGCCGGGCAGACGCCCAGAGAGACGGTGACCCTGGGTCAGTGGGGAACCTGTGGGTGGTGGAGGTCCCAGGAATGAAGCAGCCCAGTGATGCAACACAGATGGAATTTGCTATTGGGGAGCCAGGGACATCCCAAGTCGCTGACCATTCTTACTTCCTTACCATAGGAAAGCAGGCCTTCTCTACATGTCTCTTTATCTGAGTCACCCAGGGCGGCCTCAGCTGGCTTGGTGAGCAGGAAGGCAGTGGGGCTGTTGGCTTACTTGGATCAGTTAGGGCCCAGAACCCTTCCCATGCCCTTCTGGGTCGTTTGGCGGCGACTGAAAGGGCCAGTAGGGAGTGACGCAGAGTGTGAAGGAAGAGGAACAGAAGGACCTTAGTGTGGTTGCGGGGTGGGGGTGGGGGTCAGGGGACAACTGCCTTCCCCTCCACCAGCTCAGCTTCACTCAGAACCTTCTCTGGGTCTCTTCTGGGACGTGTTTGATGTGCCTTCAAAGAGCTTGCAAGGCAGTCACAGTCCTAAGCACCACTTTCTACCCCCTTGCAGGCTGGAGGCCACCTAGAAACGCTTCCTGCCTCTGCCCACCCCCCACTTTGTGAGCCCCGGTTTCCTGAACCCACTCCCTTCTCCAGAGCACCCAGCTCCTCGTGGTCACTGCTTCTGTCCTTCACATCTCCCTCGGGAGTCCTGCTTTTTCTCTCCCGGATCTTGGTTGCTGCCTCCTCTTGACTTCAGAGAGCCTGTCATGATTGGGAAAGGAGTCTCAAGGAGATCCGTCACTGGAAGATTCCCCTTCCCTTCCTGTTGAGCACAGTCAGGGCTCCGTATCTGTAGGTTCTGCATCTCTGGATGCAACCAACCAATCACATCAAAGTTGATTGAATCCCAGATACAAGATTCACAGATTGGTCACCTGCGAATACAAAGGGCAGAGCAGGAGGCTGCTGTTGTTGTTCAGCCACCCAGTCGCAGGCACCACCTGCAGTGATTTTGGAGCCTAAGAAGAGGAAATCTTTCATTTTTTTCCCCTTCTATTTGCCACGCAGTAATGGGGCCAGATGCCATGATCTTAGTTTTTTTTTTTTTTTTTTGAGGATTTAGTCTTAAGCTGGCTCTTTCACTCTCCTCCTTCACCCTCATCAAGAGGCTACACCATTTTATGTCAGGGTCTAGCAAGTCTGAGGGCTTCCCGGGTAGCATAGCTGGTAGAGAATCCGCCTACAATGCAGGAGACCTGGATTTGGTTCCTGGGTCAGGAAGATCCCCTGGAGAAGGGAGAGGCTAGCTTCTCCAATGTTCTTGGGCTTCTTTGGTGGCTCAGATGGTGAAGAATCTGCCTGCAATGCGGGAGACCTGGGTTCGATCCCTGGGTGGGGGTCTACAGTCTATAGGGTCACCAAGAGTCAGACGTGACTGAAGTGACTTAGCAGCAGCGTAACCGCGTATTTGGGTATCTGCAGGGCCCTTGGGCTTCCCTGGTAGCTCCGTGGGTAAAGAATCTGCCTGCAGTGCAGGAGACCTGGGTTCGATCCCTGGGACTGGAGGATCTCCTGGAGAAGGAAATGACTACCCACTCCATTATTCTTGCCTGGAAAATCCTGTGGATAGAGGAGCCTGGTGGGCTGCAGTCCATGGGGTTGCAAAGAGTCGGGCACGACTGAAGAGCTAACACAGGGCCCTTGAAACCCATGTCCTGTGGAGACTAAGGGAAAACTGTTCAATCAGACTCATGAGCCACAAGTGTTTGCTCTCAGGACTCTCTGGTGCTCATCACTGTGACCAGACAGTCAGGCTCTAGTTTTCTGTGTGGTCGCGAGCAAATCATTCTCCCTCCAGAGTGCCTCGGTCTCCCTAGACAGACACCATGGGTCTGAACAAGATGCTTTCCATAGAAAGAGGCAGACGTGGCCTGAGGAAAAGCAGGAGACTCTGGTCAACTTCTTTTTTTTTTACTTTTAAACTTTTTATTTTGTACTGGGGTGTGCTTGCTAAGTTGCTTCAGTTGTGTCTGACTCTTTGCGACCCCATGGACTGCAACTCTTCAGGCTCCTCTGTCCATGGGATTCTCCAGGAAGAATCCTGGAGTGGGCTGCCACGCCCTCCTCCAGGGGGTCTTCCTGACGCAGGGATCGACCCCACATCTCTTACATCTCCTGCATCGGCAGGTGAGTTCTTTACCACTTGTATCACGGGGAAGCCCCTGTATTGGGTCTATAGCCGATTAACAATGATGTGATAGTTCCAAGTGGACAGCAGACGGACTCAGCCATACACACACGTGTATCCACTCTCCCCTTCAAACTCCCCTCCTATCTCGGCTGGCTGGGCAACTTCTTTTACTCTCCAGAATCTTACTTTTCTCTTCTGCAAAAAGGGGGAAATGATCCACCTTCATAACTATCTTATTAGAGTTTCAAAAGATGGTGTAAATGAAAAGGCCAACTGTATCTATCCTTAGGAAGAAAGCAAATCAGTAGGCTTCAGCTAACTTTAAAAAATGTGTGTGTGTCTTTTCTTGAGCCCCTTGATTTCCTAGGGGTAGAGATCAGGACCCCTGTGATAGAAGAGATTAGCTAATCAGGTCTTCAGGGAAGAAGCCCTGAAACTCAGCAGGTGGTGCCGGGCCTCTGGGACAAGGAAAGCCCATGTCTGGCACCAGCAGGGTAGGACCAGGCTTCCCGCAGATACTCCAAAAAGGCATCTTTACTGAGTTAAGAAATTTGATCTAAAGCAGATGCTCAGAGCTGGCAATGCTTGCTGTCTCTCCTATTACCAGGACCCAGAATTATAACACGGCTTCCTCCTGAGTCCCTAGCAGTGGGGGGTTGTGTGGGGGGTGGGGAGGTATGCTTGCTATGCCCCCAACTCCCATCTGTGTCAGGAACTAACAGGGCCCTGTGAGTAAAGGCTGATGCAGGCTAACGAGTAACTGTTATTCACACGGCAGCTCTGCCTGGGGGGAGGGGCTGGGCTGCTGGAGTGAGGGGAGCTGAGGTGGCAGATATGAGGTGGCCTAGACCTGACAAAGGCTCTGGGGCCCCTCTGCTTCATGGCTGGAAGGCCAGGTTGACCTGGGCTGCATCTGACATTCAGGAATCAGACCTGGGCTCTTTCCTGGAACTGGCCTGTGGGCTAGGGCCTAGGTCAGCAGAGGGGAGGTGTGAGTGAGGCATCCCCCTCCACACACACCTTCCCCACCTCCCCACCTTGCACAACCTCACAAGAAGTGCCGCGGGCAGAGGAATTGGCACAAGCTGGGCAACTGCCTGCTCCCCACCCCACCCCCACCTTCACCCTTTATGCCATATTCTGAGACCACCTTGGAGATTAGCCTCAGCTTAGCCTGACTGTCTGGGCTCCCTGCCTCCCTTGGAGACAGGGGGTCTTGTACTCAATCCAGGGAGGAACTAAATTAGGAGTGGGAAGTCCAAGATTGTAGGGTCTGTTCGCATCTGTGTGGACATTCCAGGCTTGCTCCTTGGGCTTCACTGCCCACTACAGTGGGGAGGGCTGGTCCTCCCATGGACTGGCCACCCACCGTGGACACACTGCCCATGGTGAACAGGCCACCCCCACAGCGGACATGCTACCCATGGGGGAGATGCCACCCACAGTGGATGCCCCACCCATGGGGGACACGCCACCCACAGTGGACGCACCACCCATGGGATACACACCGCAGGCCCCACAGAAGAGGCCTGAGGCTCTGACCAAAGAGCTTCCCACTTCCTGCCTCCACCCTTTGCATCCTCGGCTGCTGTCCTCTCCACGAATGGCCAAGGTCGTGGCCGGTAGCCAGCCCTGTCTGGACAGGAGGAAACCAGGATGTGAGGAATGGCGGCGGCAGGAGGGACGCAAAACACTGAGTCCTCAAGAGCAGAAATTCCACCGGAAAGAAAACAATGCGCAGGGGACAGAGTCACCTTCCAGGGGCAAGGGGGCAAGGGAAGGGACTGGGCTTTCCTGCCCCAATCAGGTAAACAACTCTGGGGAAAACCCGGTGTGAATTGTCTTCCAGGTGTGGGCACTGGACTAGAAGGCCAGAGGTCTGGGTCCTGCTTTGGAGCCACTGGGAGAAATGGTCCCTGCTTCCTTTTCTGGCTTTAGGCAGATGTGCTCCCCAGGGTGGGGATACAGGGTCTCCTGCCAAGGTCAGGAGGATCCCAGGAGAACCAAAGGAGCGTCTAGTAGAGAAGCCCACCTATACGGGGACAGCCACAGCCCCCAGATGGCCAGGTGGCTGCTGGAAATCAAGTAAGACAATTCTAGATCCTAAGGTAGGATTTGCAGAAGCTGGAACCTGCAGGAGCTTCACTGGGGAGGGATGAGGTCATCGCCAGGTCAGGGTGGAGGCCAGCCCAGAGTCCCCCACTGTTAGGGGAAGTACGCTGATTGAAACCACCCACCCTGGCCAGACATCACAGTAACCATTTGTGTGAGTTATTTTATGACAGGAGGTCCTGGTGAGGAACATGGAATTAACCAGCCACTACCAACCGGAAGAGATTGGGAAAGGTCAAAAGGAGATGTCCTGAGTCCTTCACCTCCCAGAATCCTCTTCAGTGGAATCCATCTTGGTTGAGTGATACATGTGCCACCAGGAAGAGCCCTGAGTCAGAATGGTTGGCCAGAGACAGCCTTGAAACTAATCCTATCACCATAAAACCCAAGACTGTGAGTGACATGGAAGGCCAGTTCTCCTGGGTTCCCTGACCACCCTGCTGTCCACCTAGGTGCCCCTTCCCAATGAAGTTTCTTGCTTTGTCAACACGTGTGTCTCCTTGGACAATTAATTTCTGAGTGTTAGAGAAGAGCCCTCC